GATATGGTTCCCCAAAGCAGTGCCTGATGAGCGGCCTGGGCACAAAGGTCCATGGAGCACACGTGTTGTCTCACTCCTGGGCTAACTAGCAAGGGAAATACTCTAAACAATTTTCAGCAAACAAGTGAGATAGCAACTTTCAGCCTTCAACCATGCAACCTAACTCTTGTTGTCCTGAGGACAGCCCCTCAGTAGCCAGAGTTACCTGCTCTTCAACAGTGGCTGCAGATGACCCCTAACTTGGAGTCAGAAGAGATTATGCCAGTAGAGAAGTAATACATCTGGGCATTGCAGAGATTTCTGCACTCTTGTTTCTTGGCAGAAACATCGAGAAAGGTCCTGAGAAACCATGTTGGCCAGAAGCTTTAGCATGGACCACTTTTGGATGTCAGGATGTGATGCTCTGTGGAAAAGTCCAGGGGGGTAAAGTTCAGCACAGATCCAAGGATGGGGTCTCCTCCAAACAGGAGAGAGGGCCAGGTCTCGAAACTCCAGTGGGCCTTCAGGAGAATTAGGAAAAACTGAGTTCAAGTTGAAAAAATTCATGTCATCCAGTGGTCCAATGACATAACCACAAAAAGAAATAATCATTTGAATATGGCCTTTGAGCAGAACTTACTGGTATGATTTAACGCTGCCTTGCACTTGGCGCACCACAGCTCAACAGCACCGGTGGTCTCAGGACAGGTTCATTAATAAGTCAGCAGAGCAGCAAGCTGCCTAACTAACCAGTGAGAAAACTCAAGGGGATTTATGGGTGAAGACAGTATATGACAGCTAGGTGTGGTGGTTCATGTCTATAATCCCAGCACTCTAAAGATGAAGGCAGGACGATCACAAGCTTAAAAACAGCCTGGGTTACATAGGGAGACCCTGTCTCAACAACCCCCCCCCAAAAGATGGTATATGAACACAGACTCACTTCTTCCACCATGAACCCTATGGAAATAAGAACAAAGGCATGAAAGTTATACAACCATGTAGATAAAGGGATGGGGAGAAGGCAACAGCAAGCAAGACACACCACCCCATTCATAGCAAGCAGGAGCAAGCTGTTGGAGAAACAGGCAGAGTGGAAGTGGGAGCCCAACACCACATGCCTGAAGGGGGCAGCACTGAGCTGTCTCAGGCTGAGGCATCTAGGAAAGGCTTGAAAGCTGGAATGGGGGAGGTGGGGTGAGACACAGGGCTGATGACAGGAGCATTTGATGACTCTCAAGCCTCCTATCCCTACTATGTGGCCAAGATGACCACTCTACTCTTACTCTGTGAGAACCGAGACGCTCCAAACCAGATAGAAGACACAACACAGGAGCAGCTACAACAGGCACTGGAAGACTGCCTGCCCAGCGGTCAGAACTCGGCATTCAGGGGGACACCAGAGTCTCTGGGTACTGCCCTACAGTTTGTGCACTGCACAAAGGCACCTGGCCAAGAGAGCAAATGGGAGATAAAACCCAGCCTTTGCTCTGTTCCTCTAGCTTTGTCCTAGCTCAGGGTTGTATCTGCCCAGAAAGAGGCAAAAGGTGCCTTCTGCAGTCAAGCCAAGTGCTCATGGGTGGCTTCTGCCCAGAAGGGACACCTTTATTGAAACTATACAAGGGCACTCTGTGGGCTAGGGCAGCTCTGTGTATATTCCTCTTTCCCAGCCAGGAGTAGTGGAAAGATTTCTACCAAAATGGAATGAGCTCCAGAGAAGAGGAGCAAATGTTGGTATGTAGGATTTTCCATAGACAAGTCCAGCCTTCCTGGTGACAACATTTGACACTCAGAGCTTCCAACCAGCTCTTGGATGCATCAGTAGATATTTGAAGAACACTTGTATCTGAAAGACAGAGTTGAGACCAAACAAGAATGGAAGATTAGGGGAAGTGAGGACAAGATAGGGAGGAGAAAATTCCTTCAAAGCACCATCATTAACATCCACAGTGACCTGCATCCTTGAATCAAGAACAGGATACTATGCAACAAGACCAGAGAGCAACAGCACTAAGTTTTGGAAATTAAAAGTTAAGCATTCATACTGGGAAAATAAAATTGAATAAAATTTCTGAAAGCAGATAAAGGCTAGAGATGAAAAATAAAAAAGATAAAACTCTCAGAGGATTAAGAATTAGCCAGGAAGGTCCAACATTGGAATGACAGGCAGTCCAGAAAAAGAAAATGTAAATAACCACAAGAAAATGAAAGAAAATTCCCATGAGGGCTAAGCACAAATGTAACAGTAAGGATTCACCACCACCACCACAGGTCAGAACACAATGGGTGAAGAGAACAGAATGTCTCCCTGAAGAGGGGCAAACCCAAGTCACACTCAAAAGTATGGGGCTCACTAGCACCTGGACTCTCAATAGCCATGGCAGGGGAGGCGCTGGGGGAGGGGGTTTCCTCCACCTGCAATTCTATGCTCAGCCTCACCTGGGTAAGGGCAGAAGACATTTTAAATGATCTCAAAATATTTACAATATTTGCTTCCTAGACAGAGCGAGAAGGAGGAGGAGGAGGAAGAGGTAGTGGTGGTGAGGAGGAAGGGAGGAGGGAGAAAAGAGATCAAATTGAGGGGGAGAATTTGATGAAGAGGACATAGTGCACACCACCTGGCTCACCTACTCCAATCAGCCCTGCACGCTTGAGGCAGTGTCAGTGCACTGTCAGCACTGAGAACAGAGGTAGCAAGGCTTGTGATCTAACTGTATTGGAAAAACCTGGGCAAGCGTGGAACCTTCATCTGCACTATTAGAAGTCAGTAGATGTTTCTAAACTAAAATATATATATATATATATATATATATATATATATATATATATATATATACAGTGTAAACAGGTCACCTAGGAATGCAAAGGGAAATACTAGAAGAAACAGCTAGAAGTGTTGAAAGCTAGAATACTAGAAGAAACAGCTAGAAGTGTTGAAAGCAGTCACTTCTAGCCAGCAAGACTCAGGGTTTGGCTAGTTCTCATTAAACACCTTACAGCATTTTTTTTAATTAAAAAAAAAAAGTGATTAAGGGTGTTTTGTACAGCAGCTTTTTATATCCAGCTTCTTTTATATAAGCCTATGCTCAAGTGAGATGTTCGGTTTTTTTTTTCCCCCTTTAAAAAAAGTCAGTTTACAGAACCAAATGACTCTTGGGCATCTCGCCAGGAGATGTTTTAAAGGATGTACATATTACAAGTTATAATAGGCGAGAGAAGCCAGCTGAGGTTTTTCTTAACAAGGTCTAGACCTGTAAAATGAAGTGATTCCCATTTAAGTCAGCTCTTCTTTGGCATCTAATTTGGGCAAGGACTACATGGCGTCCAGGGCTATAAAATGTCACACACATGATCTTTATGGTCTGTACCTCTGAGCTTCCGATGATGCCGTGAGCTCACTAATTAGCTTGCTGTCCCCGAGGCTCTTGGCCTTCAAGATGGAACTGCTCCACCCTCCCAGCAGCTTTTGCCTCGGAAAACTGAGATTCTCTTGGAGAGAGGGGAGGCAGACTATAATCAGAATGACTTAAAAGGACAGATTTTGGCTGTCACGGACTTAATGTGCTGTGTAAATTCCTTTGGCCATGTTGGAATCAGCTTGCTAGGAAGGAGTGTGATTCCTGGAATAAGAACAATGCTGGTATGTGGAAGGATAAACCTCTACAGCTGTCAAGAATATTCCAGAAGAACAGAGGATCAACTTGAAAGTAAATGAAACTGCATGGAGAAAATACGGGAAAAAAAACAAAGTTTGGTATTTGGCCTAAAATTTTTAGTCTTATTTGAATGAGGACATTTCACACAGAGTCATTTTACCCTTTTTTTTCCCCCCCAGGACATTTGTATGGTCATGGAAGTTTCCTATAAAAAGTGACAGCTCTGGGACTGGGTATCATGTGACCAGAATGCTCATAGCAAGATTGCTCTTGACAGGTTGTGTGACCTTGGTCAACCTGCCCTGCCTCTCAGGGTTCTGCTGGACAAGAAGTTCCTCCTGATCAATAGTTTACAATTTTCTAAGAGTTGCCTGATACATGCTTTTCTGGGGAAGGAGGAACCAATACAAAGTGTTCTCTGATCTGAGTCTTATTAGGGAAAAGAGAGCACAGGGAGGCCAGGGCTGAGGAAGACAGTAGGAGAGAGACAGGTTTCTCCCGTCTCACAAACCACCTGCACTGGTCTATTCACTTGTGCTTTGCAGAAACCCTTTTTGAGAAACCCATTATGACCGACAGCAAAGCAAAGGATGCTGGTGCCAAGACATGCATTCGATCGAGGCCAGCATGTCCTGGCACTCACCTGTAGGATTCCTTCCAGCACCTGGTCAGTCACTTTCTGCTCCTCAGGGCCTTCCCTGGTGCCCTGGGAAGGGGTGGGGGAGCTCACAGTCAAAGCTTGGCAGAATGGGAGGGGGTCTCAGGCCACCCCACTCAGCCAGAACTCTGCTTTCAGTGCAGGTCTGGATGGTGTCTATTAGGTTTCATTTGACAGGAGGGTCCCATTGGAAAAGTTTTGAAAATCATAGTTTTACTCAATCCAATCAATGCAAAAGTAAATTAAAAGTGCAACTTGCTCACCTACCATGCTCCCTACCCTCTGCACACGACAAAGCCTCTGCTCCCTTCCTTGGTGTCTGCCGGAAGTTGGCAGTTTCCCCCCAGTGAGTGCAACCATGGCCAGGCTGCAACAGGTGCATGCCCCTCTGGCATCTTCACTCAAACACTCCAGTTAGGAGGAAAACATGGCAGATTTCTTCCGGGTGGAGCATGGCCACCTTCACCTGAGGCATAAATAACTCCAGTTCCTCTAGGACCTTAAAACCCTGCATGAATCGAATGCATGAGCTAAGATCCAGGTTTGTATTAGTAAAGACTCTTACCAACTGATCCACAAGGCACACAAGGGCGAAACCCACCTAAGGCTCCAGCCGCAAACCTGAGTTCTGAGTACACAGCCAAAAAGCAAAACATGCTCCCGAGTTTTCCAGAAGAAAAAGGAAACACAAGACAAAACAAAACATGACAAGGGGACGGGCCCTACATTTTCTCAGAGGCCTTCAACCATCTGCAGAAATGGCCCAATCCTGAACAGAAAATAAAATGAAGTAAAAAGACCCCACGCCTGGTTGGGGTCCTGTCTTTTTATTCTCCAGACACACGCATCAGAGCCGGGTGAAGTCCAGCTGTGGGAAGAGCAGCAGACAGTAAACCAGGAGCCAGAGGAACAGAATGAAATACATCACATCCGGCTGCTGGACAAGCTGGGTCAGGGAGTCGCTCTGCAGGCTCTGGCTCCCCAGGGACACGGCTTCTCCAGAGTTGGTGGCCTTCCTGCAGAGGGAAAGACGGAATGCAGTTACCAGTAGGGTACCCCTGAGGATGGGCCATACCCAGCAGTACAGGCTCAGGCCTCTCCACCCTCCTGTAGGGTCAAAGGCTTCCTTTGATGAGTCTGGTGGAGAGGGAGGTAGAGTTTGTTTTCAGACCCCCAGGAAGGGGGGCCATTTTGACACTCATGGGGTACAGTGATTATCTCAGGCCACATAATTACTCTGTGATAGAGCTGGCACCTGAGTCACGTCCCCGGAGTTAGTCTATTTTTGTTTTGTTTTGGGTGGGACTGGGGTTTGAACTCAGGGCTTTGCACTTGCAAAGCAGGTGCTCTACCACTTAAGCCACACCTCCAGTCTAAGCCAAGTCCCCAGGGACACCACTGTGTTCTCTGCGAGTTCATCCTAAGGAAGAGTTAAGGACTGACAGCTCTCAGTTATCCTGCTGTCATGGAGGGAATTCTGCAGCCATCTGAAGGAATGCAGATGACAGGCAATTTCAAAACAGCCACTAACTACCCCCTACCACTACCAAGTTTTGTTTTTGGCTTTGGAATATTACCTTTAAGAGAATTACTAGATTTGATTTGGGACAGGTTTATCTTTCTTTAATTTTACAGGAGTTAAATGACTTTTTTTTTTTTTTTTTGCCTTGGTAGATAATAGGGTGGTGGGGGTGGGGGTGGCTGGTGGAAACCAACCTCAGACCCAAATGTTCACAGAGACAAGGCTGAGGGAAGGAAGTTGGGGCTAATGTAGAGAAGCCTGGAGTGTAACCATCTTTGGGCTACTTCTGAGCTGGGATGGGATTATGAAAAACTGATACCACAGCTCCCTAAACTCCACAAATGGAGTGATTTACTGACACAACTTCCCTTTCTCATGTAAGGGATATTTTTTACTTCAAAAGTAATGCATGCTCAGCGCAGAAAACACAGCAGCATCTGTCAAGTTCGCAGATCCTGTTTTCAACATCTTTATCCCATGAAAGCTACCGGTGCTATTTCTCTAAGAGCGTGCTTAACATGGCTGAAAACTTGAATTGTCCATTTTAGGCCAGGGAGGGAAATTTGTGTTTCTTCTTTTTTTTTAGGAGCCAGAGGGGTGAAACTCCAAGGCCCACAGGCCTGGGGGATGGGCAGTACTCAAACACAATCTTCTAATTTCAGTAATCTAAATCTTTCCAAACCAATTCAAATCCATGGGGGGGAGGGGGATTGGGGGGAATAAAATGAAACAATTCCATAACTTTAACAGGGATAGGGACATCTCAGAACTTCCAAGATTTTCTGGTTTCCTATGTTCTAAGTAGGCTGTTTATAGAACTTAGCAACATTAGACTGCCATCTAGTTCTCCAACGGTAAGAAATACTTTCATAGACATCCTGGCATGTTTGCATTCCCTCTTCGTGTCTGCTCTGATTCCATAAAATTGTAAAATCAGCTCAGTGAGCTTCTGAGTATTGTACCTGCAGTGGGACAGAATGGACAGTTGTCAGGTGGTACGGCATTCCGGGGCACTGAGTATCCCAAGACTGCTCCCTGGCTCTACCTCTGCTAGAACCTAGCCCCACCTTCACACCAACTTGCTTTGCTCTGCTCATCAGTGCTAACTGATCTCTGCTAGCCCCTGTCACATTGAAATTATATTCTTTTTCTCTGAAATAAGGACGTTCATGCATCCTCTCAAATTAGTAATTTTGTCATTAACAAAGCATAGTTGAAAAATAACCATCCCCATAAGATAGCCTACATTATTAAACAAAAAAAAATTTTTTTTAATCCCACAAAATTTGAAAGTAAAACAAAGCCACCAACCTGTTTAACATTCGGTTTCTTCTGTCATCCTGGTCTGCTGCATTCCTCAATTGAACATAGCTAAAATGGTCCTACAGTGAAATTTATAAACAAAACCCCGCAACCCAATTAGTAAAGATGAAATCTCTGAAACAGAAAACAAGATGATTTTAAATACACAAAGCCGAGCATATGCCATGCTTTTCTTGATACTGCAAACATCTAATTCAAAATTAAAGCACTAAACAATAAATATTCCTCCCCCCCCCCCCCGCCTCCCTGCCCACTGGTGACCCCACCCACCACCTGAACCCTATGGTAGCTGGGCTGCTGTGGTTCTGGCACATATGGGGCTACACACTTTGCCAATGTCATGAGGATCTTTCACTTTACTGCAACCCCAGCTTTGAATGTGATCTTTCTAGACATTTTTTTTTTTTCTTTCAGTACTGGGGCTTGAACTCAGGGACTCACACTTGCTAGGCAGGCAGTCTACCACTTGAGTCACTCTGCCAGCCTGAATGTGATCTTTCTAGATGTGAGTACAGTGGTGGAGGGAGGTGTCTTTGGTGCACTTTTATAACAAAGAGGCCTTTGGGCTTTAGAATCAACACTTTATTTACACCCCCGGTTGCCCCAACTGGACATCTGATTGCACTGTGCTTAACGAAAAGATTTCAATGTGTTTGTCTTCTATCCAAAAGTACAGTTGTAGCACTTGAGTAATTTCAAAGCTCTAGGCTAGGGAAGAGGAAGGATGGAAAGGAATTGATTAGCAGGGGCTATAGGGAAGAAGAAATTCACATACTAACCGATTCCAAAGACCTATTACTGTGTCGCCGAATGTAAATGCTGGAATCGCTGTGGCTAGTCCTGAAAAGCAAAGACACATTTGGAATTGGTATCCCCTCAGTTCCCGTGGCTCAGCCATGGGATTACCCCAGCCCAAGGCTTCCAGATGTGCATTTAGGCAAGCCACGACTTCAGACCCAGGGATAGAAAATCGTATCCAAGATGTCTGCTTTGTTAGAGTGCGCTTACAAACAGTAAGGAAGAAGGATATAGAGACACATTGGGTTTTTGTCTGCAAGAAACACAGTCAGATTTTTAACAGAAATCAGGCCATAATATATTCTTAAAAATCCTGGAATTCAGGGCTGGAAGCGACCTCTTTTGTCTTGGAGAGTCTTACTCACCAAGGTCCTCTGAAGGTTAAGGGCCTAGGCCTGGAAGCTGAGCTCCCTTTCCAGTGCTCCCTTCCTATGCACAATGGTGCTCTAGCCCTAGGGTGAACACAAAGAGGCTAACTTTCCAACCAGATCTTTGAGGCTGATGTGGAAGGTGCCTCTGTCCTTTGAGCAGAGCCAGCTCACCCAGGTCTGCAGCAAGAGAGGCTCGGGCTGGTACCCTGGCTTCTGGTAGATCAGCAGGCCATGCCAGTGAAAGACTTAGATCTTTGATCAGTTTTCCTCCTCTGTAAAATGGATCATCATTTCCACCCCATCTGCTCCACGTTGCTGATGGTGCTGGTGGGAAGTCACTGTGTACTGTAGGTGAAAGTGTTGGGCCCTGCTCTGATGCAGTGTCTGGTGGGTGCTGTGCACCCTGGTACAGAGGGTCATCTCAGTTGCTCAAGGCAAGTGTAGGCTCCAGGGTAGGAGGTGCCACTGTCCTCTGTATGCCAAGAAAACTATGCTTCAGAGAGGTTGGCAGCTGGCATAGGTTATTTTGACTGTGACCATGGGGTAATGTCCTTCTGGGATCTGGAAACAGGTCTGGCATTTGGCCAAGAATTTGTTCTCAGGAAATCTACTGGTATTTTTCAACCCCAAAGGGTGCCAATTGTTCCTAGCTTATATCACAGCACATAAATGAAGTAAAATGTACCTAAAGAGACAAAAGGGACCATAGTGCCTCACAAATCTGATTGCTACCTGTACTGCAGTATCTGGAGATGCAGAGGCACCCTCTTCCCATGTCTGTAATGTTTTCCAATAAAAAGACACCCCCTCCCCACCATGAGGGGATTTCTACTTTATCCCTCCCCTCTTTCCACAGGCAGCTTTCTTTTAGGTGGTTTTTATATTATACTGTAATCCGTATAAGCTTTGCAGTGGGTTTGAATCTTGACCTTCATTATTCTAGCCTATCAAGAGCCTACCGTGTACCAGGAACCAGACTAGGTCTTGGCACCCAACTCCTGCCCTCCAAGAGAACCTACCGTGAACCAGGAACCAGACTTGGTCTTGGCACCCAACTCCTGCTCTCCAAGAGAAGACAGAGGAAGTGCATTCACTCATTTATTTCTCTACCCAAAGAATTTTTATTGAATGTCACCTGCAAGCCAGGGCTATGCTAATGGCTGGGGCTATTGGGAGAGCCCTCCATTAGGTCCCTGCCTTCAAGGCACTGGCTCACAGACTGATGAAGGCACATGATACATTCTTACACAAATGATTATAGGAATTACAGTTCTGAGCAGTGTTGTGAAGTCAAAGAGTAAAGGGCATGGTATACAGGCTATATAAGGGGATCAAAAATAGCCTGGGGGAATCCAAGAAGCCTGCTTGGAGGAATTAATAGTGGAGTTGACAACCAAAGGCTGAGATGGAGTAAACCTGAGACAGTGTTCCAGAAAGTGGGACAGCTCTCAAATTTGAAGGAGCCTGGACCTGACCATTCAAGACACCAAGGCCAGGGTGCCTGGTGCAGCCATTGATGGAGAAGACATTAAGGAGCCAGAGATCACTGTAGGGTCCTGCAGACTATTGAACCATGGGAAGCCACATGGAAAGACTGAATTGAGAAAAACATCCTATGCTAGGGAACAGAGACATCCAGAACATGGTACCATTTAATAACCTGTGCCAGCTGCCCATCTCACTGAAGCTCAGTTTTCTTGGGTGTATAGTGGCACCTCCTACCCTGGAGTCAGCAGGTGGAACAGCCCAGCACTCAGAGGGCCCAGGAGTCCTGAGCCCACCTCAACGTTACCTGCTTAAGTTGAGGACACAGCTTTCCCCTTGATAATACACTCTGTTATCAATATAGCCTTGTCACACCATTCCTATAGAGAGGTGGTAAGGAGGAGCTGAGAAGCAGCTTGCCACCTGCTCTGAGCAGAAAGACTCCATTACCTAGGGGCTTCTCAAAGAGCCTTTGAGAACCAATCCATTTAGGGAGAAGCTGAGTGCTCTGGCAAGTGGCTGACAGCTCCTCCCTAAGCAGTGGTGGAGCAGGCAACTGCTCTGGGTCATCCCCCAAGTGTCTATCAGCAGTCATGGCAGGGTCCACAGCACACTACGAACAAGCATGTCTGCTGATGGTCCCGCCCAGCCAGGGACAGGGACCCTGGGAGTTGCAGGCAAAGTTGGCAACCAACTTGGACTGTGCCCGCCCCTCCTCACCCCTGCCTGCTTCTCCACAGCCCAGATAGAGAAGCAAAGCAGAGAGGAGACAGAAATTGGTGGGGGCACCTGCCAGCTCTTGCTCTGACTCTCTCTGCTTGGGCTCTTCCCTGCTCGCTCCCAACAGGCACATTTCAGTAATTTTCCTTTGCAGCGGTACAGCTCACACCCCTGCAGGCAATGAGGGCTAGGGCAAAACAGACTGTGGACTATGGAATCAGCCATGTCTGAATCTAAGCCCCTCACCCTGCCACTCCCTGAGCTGGGAGGACCTGGGGCAGTGACCTGGACCCCAGCCTTCCTTTTGTGCCATCATGAAGCACAATTACAACTACATGCCTCTTGGGTGACTGTGGGGTGCATGAACACAGTCTGGGCTTGGTACACAGTGACTACTGTGAAGACCAGTGACAATGGAAGAGCAGAGTCTTGTGATACTCAGCAGTTACGTATTTTTCCTACACAAATGTGGCTTCTTTCATGGCCTTGGAGTGGCCGCGCAGGTATGGGCTATAAGCTTCCTATTGATCCTTTAAAGCTCATTATCCAACCTGCTCCCTCCCTCCTTCCCCCAGGACAAATCAATGCCCCATCACCTTGGAGCCAAATCTACGGGAGAAGCCAGAATATGACTTCCATGCCCATCTTCCATGTGATGAGGATGAAAGAATCAAGCTCAAAGCCAGTGGGATGCTTATACATGGCCAAGTTTGGCTCTGCCTGGCCCACCCCACAGTTTAGTTTGTTCTCTAGGGCTGGGCGAAGGGGGCAACCTCTGTGTCTGTCATTTTTTCCACCTACGCTTGTCTAGGTTCAGCCATTCTGCTGCTCACTGCTAGTGGTCACCCTGTGGCTCGCAGAGGAAGCAGGAAAGCAAGCTCTGTGTCCTTTCAGTTTTGCTCCTTACAAGCAGCTCCGGTGACCATGAGGTCAGGATGGGGGGAGCCCAGGTGTAGAGAATGAGGATTTTCTGTGATGCTGTGTTTTTCCTGTTGCCCAACCCCACCCCTGCACCCCACACCAGATCAGAAAGTGCAAATATAATAAGATCAGAGAGCAACTCCCTGGCTCCACCTTATGAATTACCTGCAAGGGACTTTGTAGTCGCCAGGGTCTTCTTCTAGGTCATCTGAGGACCGAACAGTCCCAGGTGCTACAAATAATGAACTTTCTACATGGTCCATGTGTTTCCTTTTTTCCTTCTTTTTACTGCTGGTTGACTCCTCCAATACCTTTTGTTCTAATGGGTTTGCTATGTTTTCAGACTTTGGGGATTCTTGGGACTAGAAGACAAAACAAACAAATTAAGACAAATCACCTGCTGGTATAGGGGACCTCACCTTACAGGCTCCATCCCCAGTCCAGCCACAGTGTCCCTTCCCACTCTGCCTCTCTCGTGGATTCTTGCCAGCACAGCCTCCCACCCCCTTTCCCCTGCAACTTCCTCCGTGGGCATAATTCAAAGGCTAGAAATTGAAGGAGTGGACACAGGGCAGATTTTAGGGTCAGGAAGCTCTGGTTTCAAATCCTAGCTGACTCAGCTATTTGACCTTGTACAGCTGACTTTCTTTGGGCCTCATCTTCCTTACCTGTCAAATGGGTACAATTGTTATCACCCTCTATACTACAGGGTTCTAAGAGATAATGTCCCTCACAATGGGCAATGGCTGAATCCTTCACACAACCATTATCCACTGATCAGAGGAAAGAATCCAGGGAGATAAGTACTGCCAAGTTGGCCCCAGGGCTTGGAGAGGTATACACACACAGGCAAGTGTAGTTTGTGGGAGGCCACTGCCACCATGCCATTGGCGAAAGGGATCGTAGGGCCACATCACTAACACTGAGTTAAGGCTTATTCTTGTACCACTGTCACACAGGCACCTGACACTCATCAGCAAAACCACCAGTGAAACTCAGAGGTGTGGGAAGAATCCCTCCCAAGAATTCCTTCAGGGGATGGAAGGATTAGACTGGTCCAGCCAGCTGCCCAGAACATAGATCTGAGCAGAACCTGAAAGCGCTTCCAGCAATGTGGAACCACAGGACCTCTGCCATCATCGCTGGCAACTTTTTCTGAAAGGTAAAATGAAGAAAGGACTTCTGTTTCTTTCTTTCTTTCTTTCTTTTTTAAGGACTAGAACAGCTTACCATTTTCCAATCTCTGTGGCTGGAAAATATTTTCTTTTTGTGATTCTGGGATTTGAACTCAGGGCCCTGTACTTGCTAGGCAAGTGCTCTACCACTTGAACTGCATCCCTATCCCTTTTTGTTTTAATTATTTTTCAGATAGGGTCTCACGCTTTTTGCCTGGGGAAAGCCTCACACAGTGATTCTCCTACTTCTGCTTTCCATGAGCTGGGTTTATAGATGTGAGCCACCATGCCTGGCCTTCTTTCCTTTTCTTTTTTAAAAGGAGAGACACATGTCAGAGAAATGCTCCATTCTACATCTTCTGACTGATTCCATGATTCCCCAACCACAGCAGGTACTAACCTACTCATGTGCTGGATACAGCAGGTATTTACCCTGCTCTTGGCAACTACTGGCAGGAAAACCTATGAATGAAGGCCGCATTCAAGAGGCCAGGAGAGAGGAACCCACTAATGAGTCATTTTAATAACAACTCAGGCTCTATTACCGACTCAGCCCCTTCCTTTTGTCCTAAAAGAACTTTTTGGGCCATAATAACCCAGAGATTCACTCCAGTTGTCCCCACAGCTTGGGGTCACCAAGACTTGATCTCCCTGAAGGTCACTTCCAACCTGCTGACTTATCGTCTCCTATAGGAAGCGCTGAAGAGCAGAGGTAGCTTCGGAGAACTCGGCCTATAGCAGTGGGGAGAGGCACAGGCACAAGGGGAAGGTGGCAGGTGTGTCCCAAACCACCAACCCTCTTTGATGGTAAATTCATAGCTTGCTATTCTGCCCCAAACAGCCATCAGTCCTACCATGTTGGCTAGGCCCGGGAATCCTGCTCTTGCCTGTTGTCCTGAGATAGCACACTGAATAAATGCAAGCTCCCACTGTGTAAATCCTGTGTCTTTTAAGGTCCTTCAAGTTCCCCTCTTCTGCAGCCCTCCAGAGGACAAGGCTTCCTCACTTCTCGTGCCATCCAGGACTCATAAGCCAGACCTCTGTCTTTTAAGTCTGTGTTTCATTCTCGACATGCTCCTTATATTTCAAGCAAGCGTGAAGTACACCTGTCCCCTACATTGCAGGTCCTGCCAGGCACCATGCTGATCTCCAGGGCCCAAACAGTATACAAATGCCCACTGGCCCCTGGAGAGAGCAACAAGGCCACAGAAACTGGAAGAGCACTGAGAGAGAACTGTCCAGATGTGATTGGCTACAGGCAAGGGAGTAGGGGCTCTGTAGGGGCAGGGGCTGGGCAGGCTCCTGAGAGGAAGTACCATTTCCATGGGGCCTTGAAGGGTGAATGACTGCCCAGTGAGAGGTGGGGAAAGGTGACCCAGATAGTGGGACCTGCACAATCAAACCCAGAGTGTGGGGGTCTGGGAGCCAGAAGGAAGCTGACTTGGTTGGAGGGGAGAGGAAGAGAGTGCCTAGGTCAGAGAGGGATGGATTCACACTATGGAGACAGGAGTTGGAAAGTGATGAGACTTGTGTTTTAGGTTCACCTCTCTGTGGCTGGGAGGAAGAAGAGGTAAAAGACTGGGGAAGAGACAAGGGACAGGGGTAGAGCTGAAGTGACCTGGAACAGCTGCTCACATTCTCACCCTGATCTTGCACTTGGGGAGCACCCTCTACCAAGAACCCCCACCCCAGCCAGATTCCCCAATATTCAGCCTTTCTGGGTCTAGGTGGTATCTCCCTCTGTGGAGGGAGCCCTTGTCCCCCTCTGTGGGGCCCATCCCTATGTCGGATGCAACATCATAGTGCAGCTCCAGAGAGACTTGGTGTCTGCAGCATTCAACAGTGCAGACAGGATTTGCTCTTCCCCTTTGCTTTTCCTGGCAGTGACGGCCTCATTGCTTTTCACAGAGCTGGACAGTGTAAGCAGGTGACCTGGCTGAGTGCCAAGCATGGGCCTCTCTCCCCCAAGGTACTTAGTGGGGCACAGTCTCAAGGCTTGGGACTGTCTTCCTGGATTCCCAGAGCTGCAGAGGGAGTTCTTACTCACAAGGAGCCTGCAGGAAACCCTTCTCTTCCCGAATTCTCTGGCCTTACCCATTCCTATGTGGTATGAGGCCAGGCTCCCCTCCCCCCAGTATCTGTTCCCTGATCTCTCCTGGGGCCCCCTGGCTGATGAAGTGGGAACACACATGGCAGATAAGCATGTGTCCAGTGGCTCGCTCTTGGGAGAAGTCTCCCTTCCCCCTCACCCAACCCATTTGAAATCACAGGAACCACATCAGTGCTGAACACACCAAAGGCCTTTAAGCATTGTCACTGTAGTCCAAAGTGAGTGTACTGTTTCCCCAGGTGGTTACAGGAGCTGGTGTGACAGTTCACCAACATGGGTACCATTACTGTGTTTAAAATGATTACTGTTCTACCTCCAAAAATAGGCCCAGGACTAGAATAAGGCAAGTCAGGTGCCCAGGGTACAGAATTTCAGGAGAGGCTCCACTTTGGGTGACCAACCCTGCATCTGTCTGAGCCCCACAGAAGGACATCTTTGAATTCTGCACTCTGGGGTGGCCATGACAGAAGTCCCCTCACCTGTCACCTGGTGGGAGCAGCACACAGAATTTCCCAGGCAGAGCCCAGGCCTCCTGAACACCATCACTGAGTTACCTGATGGCTCTCCGTGGGGTCACTCTCCTTGGTCTCCTTTGGCTGGTGGTCCTCCTGGGGGCCTGGGGGAGGGGGTTCTGAGGCTGGTATGACCCCTGCAGCAACCTTGTTGACATGGGGGGTATGGCTGCTGACACTGGCCTGGCCCCTGTCTGGCAATGAGAAGGTGCAGCTGCTCTGGAAGCTGTGGGCTGCCTCCTCCCTGGAGCCCAGGTCATGCAAATAACCCTCCGGCTCTTCCAGATCTGTGTCTTCTTCTGTTTTCATGTCCTCCCCACCTTCTGCGTAGGCCTCCAAAACCGCAGCCAGGGGCACCTCGTAGTGTGGGTAATAGAAAAGCTCATGAGGGATGACGGAGACCTTTGAGAGCGGGGGAGAAGGCTTGAAGTCCAGGCCTTCTTCGCTGTGACTCCTGAGGGTCTCCAGGCTGACGTTGGTGCTTAGGGGATTGGAAGAAAGTTCTCTGTCAAGTCCTGGGAGACCTTCAGCTTCTCCTCCCTCCTCCTCCTCCTCCTCACTGCCACACTGCGTGGACTTTCTCTTGGCCTTCTCGTACACCTCTGGCTTTTTATCTGCCAGGGAATCTTCTGGGGCCACAAGATGGCACTGAGCTTCTGGTCCAGAGCCCTTGGTAGGTTTGTGTTTGCCAGATGCCTGTTGGGTCTCAGGTGACTCGGTCTTCATGTGGGCAGACTTAGCTTTCCTTTTCCCTAGCTTTTCAGAGGACTTCTCCAAACCTTCCTCCTCACCAGGTGTCTTCTCCTGGAGTGAAGGAAGCTCACTGAAAGCCTGGCTGGTAGAAGCAAAATCTGTTAGGTCGCTGGTAAATTTTGAGGCTCGTAATGGAATGCCTTCAAAATAGTCATCTCCATCCATCGCTTCTGCCATCAGCAGTTTCACCTTGATCTCCAAGGAGTTGGCCATGACAGTATGGGGTGCAGGAGAAGGACTTTCTTCACTGTGGCTGGCTCGACTCTCTAAGGTGCCATTAAAGAAGGAGGAGCCCTGGGGAGGCTGAGCGTGATGGTTCATACCATCTGCCCCAGCAACCTCCCTGGGGACCTTGTCTGTGGGTGCTTCCGGGTTCAGCCCAACTTCCTGTTCTGGCTTCTTGTCCTCAGCAGACTCAACCAATGGGACATGCCCATCCTTCTTCAAAAGCTCCTTGGGTGCTCTTGCACTCTCTTCAAAGTGAAGATCTGGACTGTAGAAAGGGACCTTACTGCAGGAGGCGTCCTTGTAGATGTCTGCCTCAAAGTGGACGCTTTTCTTGATTGGTAAAGAGCTGGACCTCCGGCCATCCTTTCTGGTGGATAAGATGGGAGAGTCCGGAGCCTGCTCACTGGTGGTGTCAGTCTTCCCTGGGACTCCGTGGAGGGCCTGGTCAGTGATCTGGTGCATGAAGTCGGTGGGGCTGTCTGAGAGTGCACGGCTGGATGTGTCGCCCAAGGAAAAGCTCTTCTCACTCTCAGACTGGTCACAGACAAAGACTTTGGCAGGTGGTGGGTGGCTGGTTTCGTGGTTGACAGTGTAAGCATGCTCCCCATTCTGAGTCAGGAGGAGGATTTTGCTCTCCTGTTCAGATGGTGTCTCTTTGATGCGGACAAAGGTGGACTCAATGGGTACTTCTTTATCTGGCTCCACAAAATCTTCCTGCAGCAAAACAAAGGACAACATGAAATAACAATTATATCCTTTAAGTTGTTCAACCTACATCCACCTCTCAAATCACACCCAAAGACCAGACTCAGAGGCTTGTGCCTGTAATCTCAGCTACTTGGGAGGCAGAGATAGGAGGACCATATTTCAAGGCTGGCCCATGTGAAAAAGTTAGCAAGACTTTGTCTCAAAGAACAAGCAGCATGTGGTGGTTTGCACCTGTCATCCCAACTATAAGGGAGGAATAGACAGGAGGACTGAGATCCATGGCCAGCCCCATGACAAAAAGCGGGAGACACTATCTAAAAAATAACTAAAAGCAAAAAGAGGGCTGGGGAAAAAAAAAAAAAAGGTTGGGAACGTGGCTCAAGTGGTAGAGCACCTGCCTAGGAAACTTGAGGACCTGAGGCCAAACCCCAGTACTGACACACACAGAGAAAAGGCCAATTTAAAACTAATACAAAATGTTGCATTTAAGATGCAAATGGTTACAAAGACTTCTTTTTGCTTCTGCTGAGATGTGAAAATGCAGGATAAGTAAAGCATGAAATACTGTATTTATTCAAAACTATGGGTGCAAAGAAATGTCAGTGTACAAGCCAAGTCTGGGCCACTTCACACCTGTGGTCCTCTGCCCAGTCTGGGTGTGGACCTGTGGGGGAGCTAAGCCACTGAGATAAAGCAAGATCAGTCACATGCTGGCTGATCGTGTGGGCTGCTGTGACAGCCTGACTCTGGAAAGGCTGCAAACACAAAATCAATTCTCATCAGCCAAAGCTGGGGCTTCTGCTGGGAGGAGCTGGGGAGGGTGGGGCAGAAAAGCAGGGAATGGTCCTGGTGGCACTGCAGAGCATGGCTTCCAGCACACTGGTAGATTGAGTGGACTGGCCTCATCCTCAAAACATGAGACCTGATGGCTGAAACTGAAACTACACCTAGCTCCTATGGATTCCTGGTAGGATCAAAGTGCTCAGCATCTCCTCTCGGGAGCTTATTTGGGAAATGGCCACATTCTCTGCTATGGTTTGGACGTGGCTTATCTCTCATGGGTTCATGTATTAGAAGCTTGGTTCCCAGTGTGGCAAGATGAGAGACAGTGGAACCTTTAAGAGGAGATTGGGCCATTGGGGTGCTGCCCTCAGAAAGAACTGATATAGTTCTCATGGGACCCTCATTAGTTCCTGAGAGAGCAAGTTGTTCTAAAAGAGTGAGCCTGACCCCCGAATCAGAGGCTTCCTGTCTCAGCTTGTGATCTCTTCCACTCACATGTGCTTCCGCCATGATACCATCCACCATGAGGTCCTCCCTGGAGCCAAACTCATGCTAGTGCCACACCCTTGAACCTCCAAAACTATGCTAAAGAAACCTCTTTTCTTTGTACATTACCTAGCCTCCGGTATTTTGTTACAATAGAAACCAGACAAATACAGAAAAAAATGTCACATACCTCAATCTCTACTATTCTTTTATATACTAGCTCTGACACACAATAAAAACAAAAAAAGTCCAGACACAAAGAATCAGGAGAATGAAACTTATGATCAAGGAAGCAACAATTATTAGAAGTAGATCCACCTACGACACAGGGTGAGAATGACCAAAAGAGGACTATTTACTTCTACTATAAGAAACACAAAGGAATTTCTTCAGACTGAAAGGAAAAAAATCATAGATGGAAACCTGGATCGAAGGATGGAATAACATATACCTGAAATGGTAAATAGATGATCAATATAAAAGGTTACTTTAAGGTTTTTCTTTTTTTTTTTTTTCAAAGCAAACTGATTATTTAAAGTAAAAATAAGAAAGTACTTAATAAAGCAAAATGATAAGATATATGTAAAAGCAAATAGCAATAACAGTACAAAGGAATGGGGCGGTGGTTAGTCGAATTATACTGTTGCATATATAAAATATGCACCGAACTTGAATGGGTATAGTAATAATTTCAGGTGGGCTGAAGTACATTAAAGATGAATACTACAATTCCTAGAACTACTAAGAGGATTCAGTGAGGAAATGCAGCTATCAAGCCAATAAAGGAGATAAAATGGGCACCAAAGATACTTGAATAATGATATAAGGCTAGGAAGGAAAAACAAAGGAACATAGAACAGATTGCATCAATGGAAAACAATAATCATTATGGCGACTAAACCTATGATAAAGGGCAAAAACCACTAACTAAAGAGTGTGTCAGAATGATCCAACTGTGTGCTGTTTACAAGAAACACCTTTTAAATACAAGTGTACACACTTGAAAGGAAAAAATGGAAAGATACATATCATGCAAACTCTAATCACAAGAATGTGATTGGGGCAACCCAGGAGTTCCTGCTCCCAAAGCACCCTGGGAAGTGCAACATGGTGCTGGGGCCAATAGGAAACATATACAGGTTGGGACAGAATGAAAGCCACATCCTAGAGGACTCCAGTGAGGATATTCTGGGGTCCCAGTCTTAGTTGTGTGTTATAAGGCACCTAAAAAATCCTCAACTTTGGAACCAAAGCTGGGTCAGACCCCAGCTATGTATTTGATAGCTGTGTGACCCTGGATAGGCCTTTAAGCCTCTTTGAACACCCATATTGTCATCTGTGAAAGGAGGACAATGGCTCTGTGTCACCCTGGATTGTGGGAGTGGCAGTCAGCCTGTAGACACAGGGCACAGTTACTTGACCAGCCTCCAGCTACATGAGCACCCTTTTTCTTGGTGTACATTTTTTTTTCCTGTCTAGTACATTTAACTGCTTAAAGTTACACTGTGTTTGCTGACTTGTTAACTGTTTTCTCTATTAGGACAAAGGCACACGAGGTCAGGCACCTCGTCTGTCCAACTTATTTTGTTGTGTTTTATTTACTTATTTATATTTGCAGAGCTCAGGATCAAACCCATGGCTCTGTGCATGCTAGGCAAGTGCTTTACAATGAGCTATGTCTCCAGTCTGGTGCAGTTTATTGCTGCGTCCCCTGAACAGCACCGGGCATTCAGTAGACAAAGGTTGTTACTGTTGTCACTCTTCTTGTTAGTATTATCATTTCAGGGTTGTGCATGGGTGTGTTGGGGGTGTGTTCAATGAAGCCAAGACAACTTCTAAAGGTCTTGTTCTGCCCTCCACCCCCACGCCCAATTTCTCTCCAAGTGGGATTCTAAAACTAAAAAAGCATGTTTTTGAACAGTCACTATCTTTTATAATTTTTCACACTGTAATAAAATCTGGTAGATTTCTGAAACACTCCACTTGATGTCTAAAGAATCAAGTACTGGATCTGTGCTACAAGGGAACATCTTTTGTAACCTCATTAAGTCTGGTATGGGAGATGTGACTATCTAACTTTCCCTCCCACTTCAAAGTTCTGCATGTATTATATGATTTAGAAATTAAAATGTGGAAAGGCTAGGAACTCCAGGTCAGTTTGTGACTGTCGTTGTTGTGTCTGTGTGTCGTTGCCACACAGAGAGACACAGGCCAAGTCCCAGCTGATAGCCAGTGGATGGGAATGTACATTTTCTGAATTAAAGGAAAACCAACATACAGGTTCCAGCTCCGGAAAACGTTCTAGAAACTGTGCCACATAAGTCACAATAGACTGCTCATCCGGCGTGTCAACCATGATGTCTGTTGAGAGAAACACAGGCATTAGCAGGACACATGGACACACAACCCACAGGACGTTGATGGAGGAGGAGCCCACACATCATTGAGGGTTTTTTTCTTTATCTCCTCCACTTGAGGAACTTTAGGCTTAGAGTGGGTGAAGCTTGACTGAGGTCCAACTGAATCCTGGCTGAGAACAGAGGACTGGGGATGGAGAATCCGGGCTCCTCATTCCTTCAATTCCATCCATGTTTCCTCATGTCTTAGTTCCTGCCATTGTAAGCGGCTGGCTCTCTGCTGGCTCCATGGCTCCATCAGCCAGTCTGACGAGCCATGCACCCCATACTGCGGGGAGCCTCCAATTAGGCAAATTTGCACGGAAATCAATGAGAGAGAGCTACACATGCTGAAAAGGTGCCAACTGTCCCTCTCTGTCATTCTGCAATGGAACCTGGCCCTTGACAGAATAATCTGAGATGTATGCTGAAGTTATACAGTGAGATGTCTACTGCGGTAAGTGATCACTTCCAAAACAACCTCAGTGACCCCAGAATGGAGAGACGAAGTTTTAGGGGCCTATTCGGTGGACTATTATGCAGCCAATAAAAATTACAATGAAGAGATTATAACAATAAGTAAAACACTTACATCATATTGCATTTTAAGTAGGATGAGACTATACATATATTGAATGGTACCGTAGAAAATATTATAATAAACATCGGATATAAGGAGATAGAAAAACTTCTTCATTAATTTTTTTTCTATTTTCCAAAACTCCTACTTGGAAGAGCAGGTGGTACATTTACAGAAAAACCACGAAAAGGAAAGCCAGCGAGAGGGGAATCAAGGCACCTTCGGGCTCCAGGAGCCTGGGGATTTGCAGGGCAGCATGGGCGATGCTGAATGCCTTCTCTAGATTTTCCCGGGTGGAGTCTTCCAGGGCTTGCTTCATGTCTACCAGGCTGGGGTCAATGGCCTTGATCACTGCCAGGAAAGCCAGCCCACTCCTCCAGCTGCCCGCGAAGTCCTGCACTGCCACACCATACCTGGAGGAAAAGAGTAGCAGCAGCACAGCACAGGTGAGGAAACAGATGCAAGTCAGGATGTCTGCCTGCAGTAGCCATGTGCCCTTGGCGGGCTGGACACTGTCCACTTTGCCAGGTAGGACGTCCTGGGCTCAGAGCACAGGAGAGCTGCCCAAAGCATTCATACCCCATTTCCACCACCATTTCCAGGTGAATGCAACAGGAGGGTACACGCATCACATAAACACGCAAATAGGACCATGAGTTCCCAAATTCCCAGATATATAAAGGAGTGGTGGCATACATGGTTCATTCGATCAGTGACATTGGAAATACGGCAATGGATACGTGCCAGGTAATTAAAAAAAAAAAAACAACCCAGAGTCAGGAAGACCTGAGCACAACCATTCATAGAAATAAAATTATAATTTTAAAGTGAGGAAAGAGAGCGAACCCTGCTAGGTACGAATTTCCTTTAGAGTCCACTCCCTGTGATCACTTAACTCTGGTCACTGAACTTCAAAAACAAAAAAGCCCTTTTTATTTAAAAATCATTTCAGATTCCCATGAAGTTGCAAACCAGACATACAGACTTTCTGTAGCCCCTCCATCTGTATTAGCGGAGGACAGTCTCAAAACCAGGACGCTGACACTGGCCTCAGATGGTTCTTAGCTAAGCCGTAGACAATAGTGAAGTCATCAGATGTCATGCACACTGGTCCTCACGCAGTGGTGGACAGTCCCACGCCCTTTGGTCACAGGTGCAGCTTCACATGGCCACCCCCACAACAGGGACGATGAACTCTCCCATCTCTCTAGCCACCTTCTCTCCTTCACAGTCACGCCATCCCCAACACTAGCCCCCCCACAGGGAGCTCTCTTTTGGTTGATTTATTTTTGAACATTTAATAATTGTTCACAGTAATTAACTTTTATCTTTCACCCCCTTCGTCAAAACCTCTCCCTCACTGGGGAGAGGAGAGCCAATTCCTACTAAGTGCCCACTAGGGGCTGGCACCATGTCAGCTGCCTTCATGGATTTTATTTCATTTTGTCCCAACTACCACAGGAGGCAGCAGATGGTGTCACCACCGCTCAGGTGAGGCTTGCAGAGGTAAGCAATTCACCAGGGTCTTGCCCAGCCTGTCTATGGAAGAGCTGGGGTGGCTTCCTTCACACTGGCCTGGTCCCCTGTCTGGCGCCTGCTTGTAAATGGCCAGATACAAGATTAGCAAAACCCCTGCGCTGCTGGCACAGGTCCACAGGAGGCCAGTTCACCTGTCCCCATTTAGGGAAGGCCAGACCTGACTTCGTGTATGTGACAGCCTTTATTATTACTTTTTTAAAAGTAGGCATAGATTCTGAAAGACATCCTGAGGCTTAATAATAAATGTGCACATGTTTCTGGAATCCAGGGGACATGCCCAGCTGAGGAGTCAACAGGACAAAGCCCCCTTGTTCCTTTTCAACAGCTCATCGGCTTTCTGTAAGCAAACGCTGCAGGATGCATGCTGTGTGTGCAAAAGCTGAAAGTGTATTCCTGTTTTGATCATCTGTATAAGATTCAGGTACAATTGGCACCTTAACAGAGGGGCCCCCTCTCTCCCACCCACCCCAGGGCAGGCAAGTCCTGCTCCTCCCTCTTTCTGGAAACTGCACATTACTGGGGCGGGGACGGGGATTAGAGGAGAGATAGGGGTTTGTGCTTACTTCCTCGTTTTCCTCTGTACCCATGCCAGCAGAGTCTTGATGGCCTTCCTCTGGTCTTTCACCGATATTGCTGCGTTCCTCTCTGTGGTGGGTGTGGGTGGATAGGAGGAGTCCGAATCTGTGCCCCCCGAGCCTGGTGACAGGCTGGAAGATGGAGAGTTTCTGCTGAGGTTGCCTGTGAGCTCCTTAATCTGGAAAGACAATGGCACTTCAGATCCTAGTGACAGTAGAAGCCTCCCAGCAAGTGGGTCCCTTGTCTGACCACAGGGGCCACATGGACCCTGGCTGGAGGGACCAAGCTCCTGCAGAACTGGACAGACAGAAACTCTACTTGATGGCGGGTTTCACAGTTATACCCCATGGGGAAGATGGGTTCCTTCTGACGTCTGGCGCTCTGGCAGCCTTGTCATGAAAGCTCTTCCTGACCCCAGCTCCACTTGCCTCATCCCCTCATCACTTACCACTCCCGAATGCATCATGCTCTTTCTAGCCCCACTGCCCCTGCTCAATCCTGGCCCTGCTTCTCAGATGTCCTTTTCCTCCAGCACTGAACTCCTACCATGGGACACTTGTGAGAAATGCAGAACTCCAGGCTTTGGCCCTCACCTATCTATAGAAGCTATCTGTCAACATCACTCCCAGGTAATTCCTACGTACAATAAGTTTGCAATGCACTGCTCTAAGCACACTCCTATTCGTCCTTCAAAATCTAGCTCTGGGCTGGGCACCAGTGGCTCACACTTGTCACCCTAGCTCCATGAGGGACTAAGATTGGAAGGATCATGGTTTAAAGCCAGCTTGGGCAAATAGTTCAGGAGACTCCATTTCCAAAATAACCAGAGCGAAGTGGACGGGAAGTGTAAGCAGTAGGGCACCTGCTTTGCAAGCATAAAGGCTGAGTTCAAACCCCAGTCCCTCCAAAAACCAGACACCTAGCGAGCTCTGGTCACTTCCTTTAGGACATTGTCCTTACTCCCTTACTAAACCTGTGGTAGCCATCACTGCCTGGAGTTCTTACAGCAACCCACTCGTGCCTCAATTGTGGCCTATATCCTGGAGTTTTATAACATGGGATTGACTTGTCTGTGATCCCAGAGAGTCAAAAGGACAGGGTCTTGTCTGTCCAGGACCTACCACACCTGTACCTGGAGAAACTTAGCAACACGGACCAAGTAAATGAATGACGATCTGGGATTTATGGAAAGCCTTGTACACACTTCTGGATGTTCCCAGCATCTCTCAAAAAGCTTGATCACAGACATCAGTACCTGAATCCTACCTAAAACCCCTTCAGTGGACAAAGAGCTCTTGCACATGGCTTTGCTTGCTATGTATCACATGAAATAACTGCTCCTCCATTTCACAAGTGTGGAAACTGAGGCAGAGATGAGAAAGAGAGAGAAAGAGAAAAAGCAAGCGCCTCAGTTGTTTTATGTTCAGAGCTCACACAAAACGCATCCATGTCTCCAAACCTTATTCATCCAAGTGCCTCTCTGAAGTATAAGCCTTGAGCCAAAACCCCCAGGAAATCTCTGTTAGGATTCCATTTACTCTTAGGAGGGTAATTAACTAATGAGCCATAGGGTTCTAATTTCAGGTTCTCGTTCAGTGGATAGACACATCAGAACCCGCAGGAAAGAAGTCTCACTGTCTCCCTTAAGCTGTTCTGTGGGTGCTACTTGGACTCAAGCCAGTTACCATGTGTTAATGTGGGAAATGCCTATACCTGAAAGAAGAGGATTATGTTCCATATGAGCCCAAGAACCAAGGAGGGGTTGCCGTCCGCGATTTCCGCAGCATCGATGCTAACCAGCTTGACCTGGAAAGGAGCAATGATGAGCTTAGAGATGAGCTTCCAAGGAAGCTGACCTGTGATTGTCCATGGCACTTCTTACTTATTCTTTTGTTCACCCAAGGTCACCTCTCAGACACACCCAACATGCAAAAATATATTTAATAAACACCTACAAAGTATGGACATGATCCTAAAGTCTTACAAGTACCAACTCAGCTTATCCTCACGACAAGCCTGGAAATGTAGGCATTTCTATAATTCCCATACTTCAGGAGGGCGTTCAGAGAGGTTCAATTTAATGTCTTCAGGGCCGCACAGCTTGTGAGCTTTCTGTAGAGATGGTGAATAACGAGTAGGTCTGTCTTCATGCTACACTAATGTCACCAAGCCTCCAGATATAGCACATCCTTGACGAACACAGAGCACCACACCAGCAATGGGACTGTGGGTGGGTAAATCCATTGCTGGATAAGGTCTATGCCCAGACTCTGCATTGTTACAAAATATCCTACCTACTGGTTACAACGTGCATTCTGTAGAAACCCATGGAGATTATCCCGTTTATTTAGCTATGTTTTGACCCCAGAATGATGCTCTTTGGGAAATCCCTAAAACCATGTGTGGCCCCTGGACCAGCAGCACTGTGGTCACGTAGACACTAAATCTACAAGCTACACTTTACCAAGTGCAATGATTCTGAGGCCAGCTCAGTTTGCGGGGGTCACCTCCCTAAATCATCACTTCATTCTGCAAACAAATTCTAAGTCCATAGCTCCAGGTTTGGCAGACCTCTCTCTGGAAAAGATCACAATGTAAGCAAGGCTTTGCAGGCCACATGGATCTGTCACACTTTCCTCATCTCCTTGCTGAACAAGACTTTGCAAATTTAAAAAACATTTTTCAGGGGGAAGAGAGGAGAAATAAGGTTAAGTCAAACAATCTTTGAAACCCACACTGCAAAAAGTAGCCTGGGACCCTTGGAAAATAATGAAGAGAACATTTTCTATAAAAACCTTTTCTCCCTTCCTGGTTCTTTCCTCTCTCCCTTTCCATCACAGCTTTTTAAATCATATGATGCTGGCCTCTGATCCTACCAGTTTGTCAGAGTTTCTGACAGCAGCAGTTAGGCCTGAGCTAACCTAATCGAGGGCGACTGTTGAGTTCCCCGACTGAAGACCATTTGTGGCTGATACCAAGAATCCAATTCAGACAGCATGCACTCATCACCCACAGACTGCAGGCCAGGAAGGAAGCTGTCAGTATTGTGGACAACGTAGCTGATCAAATTCAGGTCCAATATTTCACGTTCATCAGGAGTATTCTCCACACATGATGAATCACTTGATGCCCTGAAGTCTGACAGCATCTCCTGCCCAGTGGCTCACAGAATGTATCCCACTCCAGGGAAGCCAAAGCAGTTAGCAACTTGGTCATCTTTGTCTCTACCCCTCCTGTAGGGAGCCCAGATAACAAGGGACAAAGCTGCCTTCAGGATGCCATAGTCACAGTGATGCCCCATCCCCAGAGGATGGGGAGGAGAGGGCTGCACGAGCATCAGCCACTCTCAGTAGGACTAGAAGAATAGAGCTCTTCCATGGCTTCAAGGGAAGACCTTCTTGGATCAACTGCAGGTTGGTCCAAGGTGTCAAGGAGCCTTGGTTGCCTGGTCATTTTCCACTTATTAGTAGTGAACAGACAGTTTAACACCCAGTCAAGAGCTTCAGGGTTACTGTCCCCCTCCTCTGCCCCCTAACTGAGCTGTTTTGCCAGACTGGAAACTAATGGAGCAACCAGTTTATGGGGCTACTCCCTCTCCCCTCTGGGCAGGCACATGTGAGGGGCTATCTTAGAGGCCTTCAGGCCAGTGGCTTCCCCCAGGGAGCAGTGACCACCCACCAGCCACTTTCCCAGGTTAGTTCCTTTAATGCTCAATTTACCCACTTCACAGATGAGAGAGCCAAGGTGCAAACAAGATGACTTGAGGGAGGTCCCAGAGCTGGTCCTGAGGGACAGCCCATCTCTGTGAGGTAGAGCAGTGGGGAAAATAGGAGCACCAGCCAGCCACAGCCCCCCAGTGGTAACCAGACAGCAGGGCCTGACTGCTTTCTGCATCTGTGCCCCAGCTCTGGGTGCTGCAGTGGCTCAACACAGTCTTATAGGCAGGCCTGTCCCTCTTGGAGCTGGACAAGCAAGGAACACAAAAGTACTTTGTGGATTCTGGGAATGGGACAGCATTTGCATCTAAAAGGCTTGTTTCCACTTGTCTCTCTTACCTGTGCTCACCTTCCCATTGGACCATCTGCTTGTCCCATCTGCCCATATTAAGGATATTTCCAGAGAGGAGCCTTCCAGGGTCTATCATACAGTGAGGCAGTTCTGGCAGAAAGTCTGGGGAGGCTCACACAGGGATTACAGAGGCCCAGGCCTTCCCAGGCTTAGCCACACTCTTCCATGTCGTCATACGTGTGCACAGGTGTGTCACGTGAGAGCTCTGCCTCCTCACCCTCAGCACGCTGAAGGCTAGGACTTCAAGTGCTCTCTCACCCTATTGGCTGCCATGCTGACGAGTCTGATACAATGTGGGCAAACTGTCCACCTGCACATGTCCCAAATATCCAGGCAGGTCATATGCTTGATTCTGGCAGCCAGCCAGATCCCACTTACCTGGTGTCTACCATGGGCTTGGGGCTGTGCCCCACATTGGGACAAACAACTGCAGTAGAAGTAGGTCTTAGCCTTCAACGTACTGAGGGTAAGACAGCAGGAAGAGTAACGAATACCCTGGGCAGTTGTTCAAAGACCCTGTGCCATCCCCAGTACAATGCTCCTTTGGAATTCAGGGCAGACATTGCTACAAAGATACTGCTAAAATAACTCCAAGACGCAGGCAGATGTCATGCGTAAGTACAGTCAGTCGAGCTAGGGAAGCAGTAAGGTTTGGCACTCACAGAGACCTTGCTCTGTGCAGCACCTGGCTTGGGCAGTCACACTGCATCCTCAGCAGCTATCCAAGGTGGGCTCTGTTTCTGCCACCTGTATTTAGAGAGGTTTGGAATTTTTCACAGTTCCTGGAAGTGAGTGGGGGAAGCTGGGATTGGAGACTGAGGCAGGAACACTCTAGGAGTGGGGCTGGTCCACATTCAAGTAGAGGCTGAGGGTATACCTGACTCAATGAATTCGAAATGTGCTTGCTTTTGAGATGACTTCACTAAGAACAAATTAACATTCCATCTAATTGCCCCACTCAAAGGATACAACTCGGTGGTTTTTAGTATATTCAGGTGTTCTAAAATTGACCAGAACAAGTCAATTTCAGAACATTTTTATCACCTCTAAAAGAAGTCTTATATCCTCTACTCATCTGCCTCCCCTAGCCCTAAGTCACCACTATGTACTTTTTCTATCTGTAGAGACTTCCCTGTCCTGGTCATTTCACATGAGAAGAATCACGTAAGATGTGGTCTTTGTGTCTGCCTTCTGTCACTTGCATAGTGTGTGCAGGGTTCGTCAACACCATAGCATGTACCAGTCTCGCACTGATTTTCATGGCTGAATAATACTCCATGGCATGGAGGGAGCACACTTTGTCAAACCACATGTTGGCTGCGGACTTCTGGGTTTCTTCCTCCTCTAGGCTACAGTATTGAACAGCACTGCTGTGTACTGTGATATGATTTTTTGATTATCACCATCTGAATCCCTGCCCTCTGCCCCCAACTATGTCTGGGACTTTCTCCATTATGTGGCTATTGGGAGGCACAGCCCACTTCCTGTTCAGAAAGTTAAAGTGCCTTCCCACCCACCTTGCACTTGGGATGTGGGTCCAGGCTTTGCAGCCTTGTCCACCATCCTAACCAGAACATGTGAGGCCAGGCTGCCAACACAGCAGAGAGCTTCTTCCCAGGCAATGGGGTGCTGCCCAGATGCAGCAGGGCAGGGAAGAGGGATCAAGCCCACTGAACCCCTCCACAAGGCTCTGTGATCACCACGGTATCCCTGGACCCTACCCTGGACCCTCCAGTCCCACACGTCATTCCATGGGCTATTGGGCATCCTCTCAACAAATTCCTTTTCTGCTGAAATTGGCTAGTGTCAGACTCTGTTACCATGAAGAACCACAAGTGGGTCCCTCTTTGAAGTTTTACTGCCACGTGTCAGGCAAGCTGACAATGGCTTACCACTGAAACCTAGTGGAAGAGGGATTCTGGAATCTCCTTCCCTCTTTGGGATTCCCCTTCCCATTTATGAAGGACATAGAAAACATGCACTGACGTCCAGAAAGTCATACTGAAGAAGGAGCAATGCTGTCATTTTTTTCCCTGGTACATTTATCCCCACCTTGCCTCCTCTATTTTTCTCATATTGTAAGTTCTAAAAGAAAGCTTTACACTCTGACGTGCTCACTGCACTCTTATGCAAAGTAATGAAAAGACAAAAAGGTCAATAAATACCAGAGGTCTGAGAGTCCATCAGATGCTCTGCTGTTTTAGGAACTGAACATCAATGGAGTTCTGGTCCTGATGGGGACAGGTGGGGTGGGCAGGATGCCAGAGGCTGTGTCCCCAACAGATGGATTTTGTGAGCCATCTCTGTCTGATTTAAGCCTAGGTTATCCTGGCCATTTCAGCAGATACCCTTTCCATGCATCTCTTGTGACTAGCACTGAACTTCAGCCTTTTTGTTAAGGACCACTCATGTTTACAAGATGTGCTGCATACACTTACATTGCTATCTTCCAAAAACTTAAGTGCTTTCGCTATGTTGTTCAGCCGAAAAATACGATGCGATGAGGATTTATATTCGTGCAGCTGTAAAACACAACAGAACAAGTCAGGCCAGCTGAGGTGATGCAGATTCTTCAGAATGCCCAGGGTGACGCAAGCCACACTTTTCCCTTTCTTTACCTTTTCCAGATGAGTTTCTGGACAGTTAAGGGTTCATGGCTAACACCCACCTGGATTGCATCCAGACCAGTGCACATGCACCTCAGCATGCACAACTGTAACATCAGGGGCCCTGGAAAGTCAGCCTTATTTACAGTACCTGTGACTTAACTTGCTAGAGTTGGCGAATGGGGGAACCCAAGTGAGTCAGCAAGAGACAAATTTGTCCAGTTTTTCTGTCCGATCCAGCAACTGGCTTGTTAGACTCCGCCCTTCTCCAAGGACTACAGAAACTTGCACTCCTCGCTGAATTGATGCCTTGCTTAGGGCAGCAAGCATCAGCTGTCCCATCGCCACTCACCTGCTAAATCACCCAGAACAGGCCTCCCCAGTGGTTCCAGATGTTTCTGTTTTCTGGCCAAGAGTTTTGCAGACAGTTATCTCAGGGCCAGGGAGAGACACACTGCATCCTGGGAACTCCACCTGCAGCACACCTCTGGGAAGGGCATGGATCAGTTGCACCAGGAGGGAACTGCCAGGCCTGGCTAATGGGGAAGTAGAGCCTGTTCCTAGCTGGGCTCCTGGTTCAAAGATGCCCAGTGGAGACCTAGCAAGGCTACAGATTTTATTGTCCAGTACTCTGGCAACAAAGTGGGGTGTCTGTGCTTTTGGAGCACAGAACAAGGGCTCACAACACACTTTCTCAGGAAGCATTTTGGGAACCATCATGCTTGGCCACTCTGAGATCTGCTAAGAAATTAAATACTATTTGTGTGACCATGGATTTGCCCTTCACAGGAATTCCTTGCCTGACTTTGCACAGTCCCCTCTGAGCAGGGCCAATCAATACCTCCCACTTTGCTGCTGAGAAAGCCAAGGTGAGGAAGGTTAAGGAGTGGGAAAAGATCCAGCTCCATTCCATCTGAGATGTGGGGCTCTTGATTGTACAGTGGTTAAAAGAAGATCTGGAGTGGTCCATGCTGGCTGCGTTATGATTTGATGGTGGTGTGACTCCATCACTGAACCTTTATCTAGGCACAATGGGTCACCATAGCCAAGTCAGACACTTGAGGCTAGAGCAGGATTCTCAATCTTGATATGATGGGTATTTCAGACCAATTCTATTTGCCTTCCTGGGAGATATCTGGCAAGCTTGGGACAGTGTTGGTGGCCATGGAAAGGGTGCACAGGACAGCAATCCATAAGAAAGAGCAATGTGACCTCAATGTCAAGAATGCTGAGGCTGAGACACCCTGCTCTATGTGAAGAGGAGAAAAAGGAGCAATTTGCACATACCAGACTCATGCACCATGGACAGGTTCGGCTAGAGTCCAAAGTAGAATGAATGTCAACAACAGCCAGTGCAGTTCGCTATGGTGATACTTAAAAGAATGTTCTAGAAGTCAGTACTTCTAGTGCTAGCCTCAGTTTGGATAATAGAATTTAGCTGGTAAGAGTCCTTTCTCTTTGCTCTTTCTGCTTCTTAGCTATCATTCTGGTTAATATAATGACTGGTTTGCTAAACTTTAATTTTCTAGTTCTAATTTTTGCCCATCATGGTCTCACTGACCATATATATTTACTTACTAAAATATATTTGCTTTTTAAAAAAGATACTGCTTAGTTTCACATGTTTACATCACTCTTAGTAGCAAAGGAATGTCAACCTCCAACGTTTTCACTTACAGGATTTATGTATGTCCATACACACCTGACGTTATGGTTTGAACCTAAAATGTCCCCCACAGGCTCACATACTAAAGGGTAGGTTGCCAGCCTAGTAGGAGGAAGTTAGGTCATTGGGGGTGTGCCCATGAAGGGGATATTAGGACCCCTGGACCCTTCCTCTCTTTCTTTTTGCTTCCTGGCTCCCATGAGATTAATGACCATTCTTCTCACCATGATGTCTGGCTTCACTTTAGGCCCTATGCCACACAGCCAAGCAACCATGGACTGCAACCTCTGAAAGTATGAACCAAAATGAACCTTTCCTCCTTTAAGTCATTTACCTCAAGTATTTTGTCACAGTGACAAAAGTTAACACCATTATACAGAAATGAAACTGCCATCAATCCTTCCCTTTTTCTTTCTTTCTGATGCCTCTGTGACATACGTACCAGATTTTGCCCGGACAGGACTTCTAACAAAGCCATTAGGATTTTGCCATCTTGTATATCAACAAATAGGTCTGTAACTTCTAGAGGTGGGTCACACTGTGGAGCAGAAAGAAAGGAAGTAGCCAATTAGTGACCTGTGTAATCCATGAAACTATTTCAGAGATGAAGGTTTCAGCCAGCTCTGTCTACAGGCAGAAAAACCACTGAAAGAGGTAGGAGCCATTGCCCTGGCCACATGGCAGGAAAGTTGTAAAAGAGATCCAGCACCAGGGGGCTGATTGAATAAGTGATCTTGGGGACCCTCCTAACCTGAGATCTGAGGCTCCAAGATTCAGTCACATTCATGTTTCTGCTTAAGGTAGAAAGAAATGGCATGTCTTGAACAGCCTTCCATGGGATGAAAGAATTCTGTCACAGCTTGCAGGAAATTACCTAATGCAAGTACTTCACTTCAGACTTGGGGAAACTGAGGCTCAAAGAGGCTGGGTGATGGTTCTAGCATTTGGTCAAGTAGCTCTGGGGTACTGTCTCATCTCTGCACCAGGTCACACTGGCCAAAGACAAGTGCACACAGATCTACACTGTGGCCAGGGTAATCCTGAGTTCTGTTGACTGACCAAGCTTGATACTAACTCCTGTGATGCACCATGGTTGAGACTTCCTACAGTCAAACCTTATGGGGCAGGGTCCAGAAACCTACATTCAGATATACATATATTTTTTGGTGGTACTCAGGTCTGAACTTAGGGCTTCATGCTTGTTTGGCAGGTGCTCTACCACTTGAGCCCAGAAACCTGCATTCTTAATGAGCTCTCAGCCAGCAGGAATTCCCTCTTTACCTTTAGGAGTGTGGCTTTGGCCAGGTGGGAGCAGTTAGTCTGGATGCTCTCTCTACTTTGGCTGGGCCTTCACACTGGAGCCAGGACTAATGTCATGTGGTGTCCCTGGGGCAGAGACACCAGCTAGAGACCTGGGTAAGAAGTCTTGGACACAATGCAACAGTGGCCAGCCACCTTCTCCTCTGGGAAAGCCCCCTTCCTTCCTGTGGCAGCCTTGAAGGCCCGGGTTTTACATTTTATTAGGGAAGGTGGCATTTCCTTACCCTTTAAATGAGTCCCTGTACCCTGTTTAGTGAAAATACAGGGCAATTCCACCTACAGGTGCATAGAAGACGGCTTTGCGTCAAGGGCCACAGCGACTTTCAATCAAAAGGCAATTATTTTCTTTGCAAACTCTGCAGCTCCTTGGGCACATTCCACGCCTAGCCCAAAGGCATTGGGTTACCATGGCTCTTACGGAAATGTTATTCCTATTAATTCAAGGCAGAAAACGAGAGGTCTGAACAAAACACCCCCTGACAACTAGACTAACAAAATTTCCAGTTACCAGACTGACTGTAGCCAAGCCTGACTCTGGAGTTAAACCTGAAGAATAATTTCCATTAGCCGTTCCTGTAAGAGCTCTGCAGCAGCATCAAACAGGGTTTTGGCCAGGGTCCATCCTGCGGGATGGTAGTGGGGAGAGGTTGAAATTGCTCCAGCGAAAACACTGGCCGACAGAATGTTCCATGGGCTTCAGCAGATTGGTATGGCGAATCAACAGCACCCCTAGGGCTTTCTGCACCATCTACCTCCTTTGGTAAATTAGGGAATTTTCCCAGAAGCCAGAGACTCAGTAAATATTCCTGACAGCCTTCAAATTGCAGTTAAGCCCAATTCACCAAGGAGTTCCTGGGTTTCCTTCCCATGAAAGGTTGTTCTTGAAAGTCTCAGGGCTGGAAACATGGCTGTTAATTTTGCCCTGTTTATTACACATCAGTTTCAGGTGCTGTCGGATTTATCTTCAGAAGGGGTGCTACCCAACCATGCCCACAAAGGGGCAGGAACCGGGCCAGCCGAGGAGAAATGACAAATGCTAACACAGGTTCACGGGGGGGGGGGGGGGGGTGAGTGAGTGTGGTGGTATTTGTTATATGACCCTCTGTTCTTTTCTGTAATTTTTTTCATTAAAAAAGAAAGGAAGAAATAGTCCATGGCTCTACATGGTCCCCCACTAGGAATTTCCAGCCACTCTGACAGACATCGGGCATTAATTTAGGAGTTCAGTGAGCTAGGTTTGGGGAACCAATGTAACACTTCTTCTTATGAGCAATGCTGAAAAAGTGTTGAAAGTCAAAGTGGACAAGTGGCAAAGGATTTAAAATGCTTCATGAGTGATAAGTAGTCTTTCACCCCAAGAGTTCAGGATGCTCATGGGTTAAATGACAGTAATGTGCCATTCATTCAGCAGGCGGGACAGAAGTCAGGTGGTCGTGTGGCTGCTTGAGAAATATTCTAGGTGAACTTCAGTCAAGAGCTCTGCTTCCTAAACCCGTATTTATTTTCCTCTGCTTTCTAATCATTTCTGTGATTTCTTCTGGGGGAGTCAATAGTTATTCTTGTACCTTTTAAGAGGAGAGGAGAAGAAAAGAAACATACTAAATTCCTGTAAAGTGGAGTACAGCCAGCTTCTAAACCAATGAGATGCCGGCTAGGTGTAGTTGGAGAACCAAAAACTGGTGTTTAAGGAGGAAGAGATGAACTTTGCAAAAACAAATCCTAATAAGTCAGTTTTCTTAAAAGGAGAAAAACAAAGTCTCAGTCTGCAGCTCCAGGCAATTCAGGGTGCTCAGAGTCCTGAGTTCCCAGTCCTTGGGGCCCACACTCCTAAGGGCCATGGTTCTGGGGTCCCAACCATGGGATCCACAGTCCTGGGGTCCAGCCTTGTGTGTAAGTAGGGCTTGGATTTCTGCTCTCTCTCCTCCTCCCTCTCCCTCCGAGCTGTTTATCCTCTCACTTCTCCTCTCCTGGCAGCTCCTCCTTTTCTCTGGAGCCGCTTCAGCACTTTGGTACAATGTGTGCATGAGCAGCTTGCAGACACGATGCAACTCAGAATGGCATGGCCACAGAATGTAAGAAAGAAAACAAATGTGGGGACAAAGGACTGCTAAGCTGGATACACAGGAGAAGCCACAGAAAATTCAGGCAAGTCACATGATATTTGGTGCCTCTGCTTCTTCATTCTGGAGGGAGACTGGCATGTGTGTCGTGATAAGCAGCCTGCCTGGTGTAGACTGGAGTGCAGCAGAGGGCGGGCCATACTTCTTACTCATCAACAGCTATGTGATCAACAAGGAACCTGGTTCTCTTAAAAGAGTTCCAGAGCTCTTGTGCAAATAAGTTCAAACGCCTACAAAGGGCTCTTAACAGAGCCCCACAGTGGACGGCAGAATACCCCTAAGTGTTTGAGGTGTAGGGTGACCATTTCTTGTCCATGGAAGCATTGGTGGTGTTCAACATGGATTGTCTCCCACCATCTGCTTATGAAGTCCTACTTAAAGACAGAAATGCCTCTTGTCCAGTTATACTGATAATCCCATTAGGACAGACTATCTTCTCTGTGTTCCCAACACCGAGCGTGGGACCAGCAGTAAGAACGCACTCGTATTTGTTTAAATGAGTAAAAACATCTCCTCCCCACCAGTCTACAGAACTGTCAGCCCAGTTCCAGACGAATCTGTCACTTCACAAACCCCACGGGTCTAACTTACCTTTTCCAGATGTAGATTTATCCATCGAGTAAAAGTCCTCTTCTGCACATTTTCCCTTTCAACTGAAAACCAAGAAACGCCATTAGCCAGGGGGAAAGAAACGGGCAAAATCCTGCCATTTTATTCCCAGGGAGATTCCACGGGGACAGACGATAGACTGTTTTGTAGGGTTCAGGTAAGAACAGAGCCCTTCCCAGAAGGGAGTTGGCAAGAGTTGAGGTGGCACCCCAAGTTCACTTTCCTCAGCTCAAGCACTGAACCTCTGTGTAACTCACAAATTCAGGCCCTCAGAACAAATTATTTTACACAGTCTACAGCAAGCATTTGGATTCTTGACCTCAGGTTTAGAGGCACTGGGGAGAAAATGCAGATAAATCCCACGAGGCATGGGTGCTGTACAGCCATGGAGTGGTGGAGTTGGGTGTGAGGAGCTCATGTGGGGGACAGGCTGGGGTGGGCCAAGGATTAGGAGTTGGGATGAAGGCTCTGGAATGTGCCAGAGAGTGAGGGAAGGAATGTGACAGCCTTGGGTCAGACAGCCTCATTCCCCAGCTTTTGTGTGGCTTGGGACAGCTGGCTACTCTTCATCTGATCTGCCTGCTGGGGATGAAGAGCTACATCCAGGCTGCCAAAGAATACTGGGGACTCCACTTGCCACATACAACACAGTCCCTGGACAATGGCTGCTAATTTTTCTTTGTAGCCCTTTTTAAAATTTATTTTGAGACAGGGTTTAACTGTATAGCCCAGGGGGCCTCAAACTCGCCATCCTCCCTAGTGCTGGCAAGTGCAAGGATGCAAACCAGGACTGGACTCTTTGTCCCCAAAGAGCCTCTTGACAAAGAGAGTTCATTGTCAAGGGCACTTCTGTCCACCAATCACATTCCAGGCAGTTTGTTTTTATTAATCTGTAAACCTTACCATACCCCCTGCTAAGGGGAAATCATTATTCTACAGATGCACAAAATGGGGTTCAGAGAGGTTACACTGGCTTGCCCAGGAAATCAGCCTGAGACAGGCAGAGCTGGGAATCACCCTCAAGTCTGCCCACCACATCAGACAGTGTCCTGGAGCCAGAGGACCTGGGTTCAGTTCCAGCTCCCTCAACTACAGCAAAGATGAAATAGTTACAGTAGTGAGTTTTTAAAAAAATGCACAGAGCACTTGCCACATGGCAGGCACCGAACTTAACCAATTTAACTGAACTTCATGTGTGTTCACTAATTTAATCCATACTACAGCTCCTGAGACAGACACCATAAAATGTTCAGATGGGACGTCCGGGCACAGGGAGACTTTCAACTTGCCTGAGGTCACACTATCAATGAGGTTATTGTTTCTATTTTACAGGTGAAGAAACTGAGGGGCAAATAATTAATGCACAGCCAAGTTGGAACTGTGTGGGTCCTAAGCTTTCCACACAAACTCTCCTCCCTAACCCTGTGACCTGAGCTGTCTTGGGCCCTTGAAAACCTGGACCATAGTCCCACAGAGGGCCATGGTACCAGCAGCCGAAGCCTGGCACACAGTGGCCTGTGGCAGGTGCCTCCTTGGCTTCAAGCTGCCACACTTCTCAGAAAGCTTCCTTCACTTTTCTGGGTCAGACAACTCCTAAGTTACCAAGCCCCAGATTTCAGCACATTGGAAGAACACATCACAGGTGCCTAAAAAACTATCTCATACTTCTTTAGCAAGAAGAAAATGAGAGCCAATTTAGCTCCTGGAGGAGAAAAAAAAAAAAAGGCTACAGTTTTTTTTGTAATGACTATGGTGCTTTTTCCTCTTGGCCTCATTATTAGGTAGATAGTGACACTATAAATCAAATTTTCATTTTGTACCTTTCCATCTTTTTAACTGAAGAGCCCGCAGACAGTAATTATGCACATAACAGCTTTTCTCTCATTTTCTGCCTTTTCTGAAAGGGAAGCTCACTGGCAAGGAGGCATGAGAATTAAAGATCTAATTCCAGTAAACCATGCTTTCCAGGGAGGGAGGGGGAGGAAGAAAGGAGAAGAAGCTGATAGAAATGAGAGGTAGGAAGAAGGAGCACTGTTTGAGACTGGTGAGTCCCAGAGTCCTGGGACTTCCAGAAGCTTGCAGAGTGCCCTGTCCCAAGTCTCAGCATTCCACTCCTGCAGACACAGAACTACCTGGTTCCCAATGGCTGCAGTTTTCCACAGTTTAGGTTCTATTCCCCACCCAATGAACATGAAGGCAACTTCTAATTTTTCACGAGCAGAATAGCATCCCTGTACCTGTATGCTAGTACACCATTCTTTGTGCACAAACAGGAATGTGTTTCTTACCCTTGACAACTAAAAGTACAACTGCTGGGTCTTAGTGGTAGGCACATTTAAAATTTTAATAGCCACTTCCAAATTGCCCTCCCCAAAGGCTGCCCAAGTTTATATTTTCACCCCCACTTGTCTTTAAACAAGTTTATGGGGACTATAAAGTATTTACACACACATTCAAACATGCAGGCTGGTTTCTCCATCTGGCCTCAGAGTTGAGTAGATTCCTTGAAACAGAAGTGTATTTAGCAAAAGCCTTCAAGAGCCTGGGTCAAGGCTGCTAGTTTAACTGCACTTGAGGGTGTAAATGTGGAGTTGGGTGTTTGTTGGTCTACACATGCCTCATCTAGCCATCCATCCAGCCATTTAATCACCCACCCATATACTTGCCCATCCATCCATTCAACCATCCACTCAGTCACCCATCCATACATTCACCCATCCATCCATCCATCCATCCGCCCAGATAATATTTATGCGGTGATTTCTACTGCTGGAAATTATGTCAGCCTCTATGGCAAAATCAGCAGTGAAGAATTAAACACTGAGGGAATTTGCACTTCAAGAATTCACAGCCAAGTAGGAGAGAGAAGACATTGATGTCACAAGGCACATATGCAAGGAGAAATGAATTAGCAGGAGGTGACTTCACACTTGCAGGGCCCTAAGAGGAGCCCTGTGGGCCACAGAAGCATTCCTGGTGGAGCCCTGCCCTGATTCAAAGCCAGCCTTGGGGTGAATGCCCTCCATTCCTGCCACGACCAGCGGGAAAACCTGAGCATAAATCAGCATTGCAGCACAGTCAACCCACAGGAGGGGAGAGGTGACAAACTGAGGGATGTCAAGGGATGGTGAGACTCAAGCACAAATAGCAGACAAGGCCCAAAGTGAAACAGGGCGCAGAGACCCTATTTTCAGCACCTAAAACTGGGACACACCACTCAATACACAGGAGAGAGTGGGACCGTAAGGACTGGAGCCTGCCCTAGAACATCTCCTTCAGGGTCACACTATAGGATCTTGGGCAAGTGCACAACTTTCAAAACATCTTTGCCTCAGTCTCCCTCACAGGAACACTAGAGAGCCTGGATACAGTCACTCAGAAAGCAGCACTACAGCTGCATCCTCCAGGTTGGTTTCCCCAGTTCCCCAGGGTCACACAGAATGCCTTGGACTTGGGGATTTAGCCTGGTGTCTCCACAGAGGGCTGAGGCTCATGCATGGCTTTCTCTTTTTGAAATACCCGCCCCCACTACAGACGTCCCTACTTCTGGCCTGCCAAGACTCCATAAACTTTATATAGTTTCCATAAACCCAATAGCCCCTTTTTTCCTATCACGTTGTAAAGGTGTAGGAAACCATTTCTCTGGAAGGGTCTGGTCTTCTCACCAAGTGGGTGTGGGGCCCAGGACGGGCAGCAATAGAGCAATACCAAGGCTGTAAAATCACCATCCTGGCTCTGCTTGGACGGCAGGCGTGTAGGAGAGCTGGGCAGGGGACTGGGGGGAGCTTGCCAGGCCCAGGACCCCAGGAATGGAGGCAGAAAGCAGCTGGTGTGTGTGTGGGGGGGGGGGGCGGCTAGCCTTCCAGCTCAGTGCCACCCGCCCAAAACTCCAGTTCTGGTTTTGCAAGAACAGACCATTTGAAAATGGGAGGTGGGTCATTCCTCCCTTCTGCAGGCCTCCAGTGGCCAGCTCAGGATCTGGGGACCACAAAGGACACTGGGAGTTCAAATAGATTCATTCACATTTGTGGCGTTTTGTCTCTAGGGGCCACATTTTTCCCATATCTACTTCTTGTATACTATTTTCTCTGTAATAGTTCAACTCTTCCCTGCCTAGGGGAAAGGCCTGATGGTTTTACCTGATTATAAAAAAATTACATGCTCATTATAAAAATTATAATAATATAGAAGCATATGAAGAAAACTATGTAAAATCTCTTGAAATTTCATTATGCTAGGAAAAAACACACATGTGTGCACTCACAGATTACACAGCTAACACCCGTGCGTACAATTTCTCTTTTACTATTTTCATCAGCATATGTTAATTGTACAAAGTGAGGTGTGTCTGTGATATTTCCATAATGCAAACAGTGTACTTTGATAATAGTCCCTCTTATCACTTATTTTCTTGCAAAAGTTTTTAATGGGTTTCATAATGGCTTTTTCATACATCAAGCATCCAATTTCAGTGAGATCAACGACAACTCAGTTTCTCAAAGTGTGTCCCATGGATCACTGACATCAAGAGCTACTGGGGGGCGACAGCTAAAATGCTAATCCTGGGCTCCATCATCCAAGATCTGCTGGCTCACATTTTCTGGGGGAGGATCCTGGGAATCCCCATGTTACCGGCTCAGTGGCCGATGACAGTGCAGTTCGAAAACCTGCATCTAGACAGAAGGAGACAATTAGCATAATTTCTTGGTCATCTTCGGGCAGAGCAGAGAACATCCACGGGCATGTCAGCCTGGCATGGGAGAAAGACCCGGCTGTCTGGAGCCAGACGTGGGCTCCACCAAGGCCCCTAAGACTGTCTACTCTCAGGCTTCATTGTCATTTAAGCCAATACAGACAGATGTCAAATGGGGATGGCTTGGGGACACAGTCAAGAAAGCAGTGATGTCTGCAGGGCTCTTCCTGATAATGGGTATCTCAGTAGCTTTGGTCACTGAAATCCTAGGCTGTGAGGAATCTGCTCTCTGACATATATTTGGCTCTGAAGGCCTGCAGATATGGAATCTGCAGGTGATCGGGGTGGGGG